AGACAGACAACAGACAGACAGACAGAGAGACAGACAGACAGACAGACAGACATACAGAGAGACAGACAGACAGACAGACAGACAGACAGACAGACAGACAGAGAGACAGACAGACAGACAGACAGAGAGACATTGTTTCGTTTAACTTTCATGCCAATAAAGCCCCTTTGAATTTTATTTAATTGATAGATTGTTGCCTCACCAGGGACATTGCACATAAATGAACACTTAAAGGTGGGGTAGGTAAGTTTGAGAAACCGGCTCGAGATCGCTAGAATTTGAAAATACACAGCCGGAGAAATCTGCCACTTCCTCACAGAGCCCCTCCTCCAACACACACGAACGCGCACATGACCAATGAGGGCACGAGATAAGTTTGTGCACTGATTGAAGGCTGACAGGCAGGTAGGCCATCCAGTTATTTTAGCCGGGCCGGCTCAGATGATTGGTCGTGCTTTTTACAGTACTACGGCTTCCACAGATGATATTTTTTATGGATTTTTTGTCAAAGCACTTCAGATATTCATTGCTATCTGGATGTTAAGAGCATTCCATGGCATATAACAACAAGTGTTTCTGAAGTGAATTACCTACCCCACCTTTAAAACATGAAATATACCAAGTGTAAATTGCCGGATTTAGCTTTGAGCTACTTTCCAGTCCCTCACATAAAACATTAAGAAAATGAAAATGACAAACATAGCAGCACAAATACATCAAATGCAAGAATAGTGGAAGAGTAAGACCCACATCAGCGGGTATGACGTCACAGCGTTGCCTCATCAGTTTCCTAGACGACCAGAAAGCGAAAACGAGGCTGACGTCACCGTTTCCGGACAAACGGAGGGACGCCTTCAGATTAAGAGCTTTCTTTCAAAGTTGAATATCACACACAAACACGCAACGTCACTTCCGGTTGGTGAAACCGGAGCCTCTCCACTGATCTGTGGGGAGAAGGGAAGCTTTTATTCTGAAGGGAAGCTTTTATTCTGAAGGGCTCTTTTCTGTGCCGCAAAGTCTGGAAAGTGAAAGTGTGAAGCAGAAAAGTGAAGGGACTTTCACAATAAACTCTATTTATAATATCATATCAACCCTTTCACAATAAAACACTGTGTACTTCTACTGTGTACTTCTAATGTGTACTGTGTACTGTGTACTGTGTACTTCTACTGTGTACTTCTACTGTGTACTGTGTACTGTGTACTTCTACCGTGTACTGTGTACTGTGTACTGTGTACTTCTACTGTGTACTGTGTACTGTGTACTTATACTGTGTACTGTGTACTGTGTACTTCTACTGTGTACTTCTACTGTGTACTTCTACTGTGTACTTCTACTGACGGGAGATATCATCATTTATGAGCAGCAGGCTTTAAATCATAAATACTCTAAATACTTCCAACATGTTGCTGATAATACTTATATATATATATATATATATATATATATATATATATATATATATATATATATATATATATATATATAAGTATGTGTATTACTACAGAGTATTGTCAGCAGTATGGTAATATTATAGTATTACCTGGTGTTGTAGAGTGGAAAGGGAAACTGGGAATTTCTCTGTTTCACTCTGCGATGGATAAAAGTGTGAGATCTGCAGAAAGAGACAGAACCTCCAGGAGATCCATCAGCTTCATCATCACCTTCATCACCATCACCATCATATTCATCAGCTTCATCACCTCCACCTTCATCATGATGTCACGCCTCCTTCTCCTCGTCCTCTCTGCTCAGCTGACCTCGGCGCTCTGCTCTGATTGGCTGTCGGACTACAGCACGCAGAGTGGAGAGGCTCTGAACTGGATCAACAGCATGGTGAGACACACACACACACACACACACACACACATACACACACACACACACACACACACACACACAGACAGACAGACAGACAGACAGACAGAGACAGACAGACAGACAGACAGACAGACAGACAGAGACACAGACAGACAGACAGACAGACAGACAGACAGAGACACAGACAGACAGACAGACAGACAGAGACACACGCACACACACAGTTATGAACATGTATATGTTCTGTTTGTAATGATTTATAATGAAAACAGTTTCCAGCAGTTTGTGGTGAAATAAACATAAGTAGAAAAAAAGAAAAAGAAATAGAAGAAAATACTTAAATAAAAGAAAGTAAAAAAGTAAGTAAATATATATGTAAGTAAATAATGTGTGCGTTTGTGCGGCAGGGCGGCCCGCTGAGAGACGAGCGCCCGGTCCCGTTCCCGAACAGAGCCTACAGACGCATCCGGAGGGAGACGGTGAATATCAAAATACATACCTTCTATTTCTCTCTTTACCTCACTCTCTGATACTGATGATGTCATCACTGCTCACCTGTGCAGGTGCAGTCTCAGCTGGCGTTCGTGGGAGAAACTCTGTCGTTCATCGCTCAGCTGTTCAACAACGCTAACATGTCCGCCGCCGGCTGGAACCAAACCTCCACCGAGAAATTCCGGACGAACATCAACAGGCAGCGAGAGGACGTGCTACACTGCGTGAGCATTTTCACAATAACAGACTTCAATTAGAAGTCCTTTCACAATAAGAGACTTCAATTAGATGTCCTTTCACAATAACAGACTTCAATTAGAAGTCCTTTCACAATAAGAGACTTCAATTAGACGTCCTTTCACAATAAGAGACTTCAATTAGAAGTCCTTTCACAATAACAGACTTAAATTAGAAGTCCTTTCACAATAAGAGACTTAAATTAGACGTCCTTTCACAATAACAGACTTCAATTAGAAGTCCTTTCACAATAAGAGACTTCAATTAGACGTCCTTTCACAATAACAGACTTCAATTAGACGTCCTTTCACAATAAGACACTTCAATTAGACGTCCTTTCACAATAAGACACTTCAATTAGACGTCCTTTCACAATAACAGACTTCAATTAGAAGTCCTTTCACAATAAGAGACTTCAATTAGACGTCCTTTCACAATAACAGACTTCAATTAGAAGTCCTTTCACAATAAGACACTTCAATTAGACGTCCTTTCACAATAAGACACTTCAATTAGACGTCCTTTCACAATAAGACACTTCAATTAGAAGTCCTTTCACAATAAGACACTTCAATTAGAAGTCCTTTCACAATAAGAGACACCTGATGCTGAATGTCCTCTCACGTTAGGGTTACAAAGGAACTACAGAACGGTCACATGACTTCCATGACAAAACCAGGGGAAAGCAAGTGATGAAATGCTGACTCATTATAATAAAGGTGTGTGTGTGTGTGTGTGTGTGTGTGTGCAGATTCCCTCCAACACATCAGCTGTCACCACGCTGCGCAAATACTTCAGGATGCTGGAGAAAGTGACCCTGCTCCGCACTGTGAGTACACTGTAGAACACAGAGAGTGTGTGTGTGTGTGTGTTTATATGCAGTGTGTGTGTTTGTATTAACAGTGTGTCTCTCTGCAGGGGGGCAGCAGGGGGTCCTGGGAGCAGGTGAGGTGGGAGACCCGGGCTCACCTGGTGCAGCTGGATGTTCTGGTTCAGCCGAACATCAAAGATCAGTCTGCGAGGCGGCGCCGACATCACCCTTAATATCTATTATGCATTTATTTATTTATTTATATATTTATATATTTATATATTTATTTGTTTATTTATTTATTTATTTATTTTCATGTTTCTATTTAAAGTATTTATTCTGTTTACTGTCTGAATGCACTTGAAAACCTTTTGATGACTGACATTAAATATTTTATATGAAGCTTGTGTTGAAGATGTATTTATGAAAGGGAAACACATCTGTCCAGTAGGGGGCAGATCAGATATTATAATAAGGAAACACATCTGTCCTGTAGGGGGCAGATCAGATATTATAATAAGGAAACACATCTGTCCTGTAGGGGGCAGATCAGATATTATAATAAGGAAACACATCTGTCCTGTAGGGGGCAGATCAGATATTATAATAAGGAAACACATCTGTCCAGTAGGGGGCAGATCAGATATTATAATAAGGAAACACATCTGTCCTGTAGGGGGCAGATCAGATATTATAATAAGAAAACACATCTGTCCAGTAGGGGGCAGATCAGATATTATAATAAGGAAACACATCTGTCCAGTAGGGGGCAGATCAGATATTATAATAAGGAAACACATCTGTCCTCTAGGGGGCAGATCAGATATTATAATAAGGAAACACATCTGTCCTCTAGGGGGCAGATCAGATATTATAATAAGGAAACACATCTGTCCAGTAGGGGGCAGATCAGATATTATAATAAGAAAACACATCTGTCCAGTAGGGGGCAGATCAGATATTATAATAAGGAAACACATCTGTCCAGTAGGGGGCAGATCAGATATTATAATAAGGAAACACATCTGTCCAGTAGGGGGCAGATCAGATATTATAATAAGGAAACACATCTGTCCAGTAGGGGGCAGATCAGATATTATAATAAGGAAACACATCTGTCCAGTAGGGGGCAGATCAGATATTATAATAAGAAAACACATCTGTCCAGTAGGGGGCAGATCAGATATTATAATAAGGAAACACATCTGTCCAGTAGGGGGCAGATCAGATATTATAATAAGGAAACACATCTGTCCAGTAGGGGGCAGATCAGATATTATAATAAGGAAACACATCTGTCCTCTAGGGGGCAGATCAGATATTATAATAAGGAAACACATCTGTCCAGTAGGGGGCAGATCAGATATTATAATAAGGAAACACATCTGTCCTGTAGGGGGCAGATCAGATATTATAATAAGGAAACACATCTGTCCTGTAGGGGGCAGATCAGATATTATAATAAGGAAACACATCTGTCCTGTAGGGGGCAGATCAGATATTGTATTTATTATAAGGAAGTCTGTGAGCGTTAGCATTAGCTTCACGAAGCAGCTGTGTGTTTATTTGAATGTAAATCAGTGAACAAACACAGGGATTACGTCAGATCATATTCCACGTGTTTATTGATAATCAATACATCCAGAAACACTGCGATCATCTCTGATTAAAATATCTCAGATTATTATTATTAAACAGTGGGTCTGTAGTTTGAGTGATGGCCTCCGGGGGCAGCAGAGACACGTTAAATAGAACCTCTAAATACATTGTAATTCAAATGTAATATTTAATACTAAAACTCAGTTTGATTTGCTAACAAAGAAATATATTTATAACTAGAAATATTTATTTTAGAAATAATAATTCCTAAATGTCTCCATACATTTAATTTAATTCTTAACATAAAATAATTACATCTTTATTGCTAAACATGTGTTGGTGATAAATTAATGAGAATTCAACAGAAGAACTAAAATCTATAACTCATGTTTAATTTATGATTTCTAATTTAAAGTGAATTTACAACATTTAAAATAAATGTGTCATTTCTTCTGAATATAAGTTGATTTAAATACAATCAAGATGAATATGAATATATAAAATAAATGACTCGTAGACTCGATCATAAACATGTATTTATAATTTGTATTATTTTCAAACCATGAACCAGTTTAAACTACATTTTAAATATTAATCTTAGTTTGTTGTGAATTATTAAATATATAGGAACTTCAAACTCAGGCTGGTTATTAGTAACTCAGTACATTGACTAGTCAACACGGATTGGTCCCCGTGGCCACTGGGAGGGGGCGGGGCTTCAGTCTAGCCACATGATTGGACGTAGTTTTGGGGGAAGAAGCCGCTGTTGCCGCGGAGATAACCCTCACACCAGCCGTCGTCATGGCGATGTGTCAGGTAGATGATGTCGCCCTCGCTGAGTGACAGGTCGTCGGGTTTGGAGGCGTCGTAGTTGTACAGCGCCTCCACTGGACACACAGAGTACTGCCCTTACACACACACTCCAAACACACTCAAACACACCCCTGTATGCCTCTATATAACTAAATACACCTTTATACCTCCATACACACACTCATACACACCTATACACACCACTATATAACTTAATGTACCTTTATATACCTCTATTAAACATTCACACACTTATATCACTTTATTTACATACCTTTATACACATTCATACACACTTATATACCTCTATATACCTTTTATATACCTTTGTATACCTTTATGTAGAGTAGTAGTATTAGAAGTGGTAGTTTGTAGCAGTAGAAAAATAAACATAAGTAGCATTAGTGGTAGTAGTTAATGGTAGTTAGTAGAAGTATCAGTATTAGTTAGTAGTAGTCGTATTAGTATTAGTTACTCGTAGTATTAGTATTAGTTAGTAGTACTATTAGTATCAGTTAGTAGTAGTGGTAGTAGTATTTGTTAGTAGTAGTAATAGTATTAGTTGTATTGGTATTAGTTGGTAGTATTAGTAAGTAGAAGTAATAGTTATTAGTAGTATTACTTAGTAGTTAGTAGTTAGTAGTTAGTAGTAGTAGAATAAAGGTATTCTGATTCTGATAGTAGTAGTATTAGTTAGTAGTAGTAGTAGTAGTAGTATTAGTTAGCAGTAGTATTAGTAATAGTATTAGTTAGTAGTAGTAGTATTACTTAGTAGTTAATAGTAGTAGTATTAGTAATAGTATTAGTTAATAGTAGTAGTATTAGTTAGTAATAGTATTAGTTAGTAGTACTATTAGTTAGTAGTAGTAGTATTACTTAGTAGTTAGTAGTTAGTAGTAGTAGTAGTAGTAGTAGAATAAAGGTATTCTGATTCTGATAGTAGTAGTATTACTTAGTAGTTAATAGTATTAGTATTAGTTAATAGTAGAAGTATTAGTTAGTAGTAGTATTAGTAATAGTATTAGTTAGTAGTAGTAGTATTAGTTAGTAGTAGTAGTAGTATCACTTAGTAGTTAGTAGTAGTAGTAGTAGAATAAAGGTATTCTGATTCTGATAGTAGTAGTATTAGTTAGTAGTAGTAGTAGTATTACTTAGTAGTAGTAGTATTAGTTAGCAGTAGTATTAGTAATAGTTGTAGTTAGTTAGTAGTAGTAGTAGTATTAGTTAGGAGTAGTAGTATTAGTTAGCAGTAGTATTAGTTAGCAGTAGTATTAGTAATAGTTGTAGTTAGTTAGTAGTAGTAGTAGTATTAGTTAGTAGTAGTAGTATTAGTTAGCAGTAGTAGTAGTAATAGTTAGCAGTAGTAGTAGTAATATTAGTTAGTAGTAGTAGTATTACTTAGTAGTTAGTAGTAGTAGTAGTAGTAGTAGTAGTAGTAGAATAAAGGTATTCTGATTCTGATAGTAGTAGTATTAGTTAGTAGTAGTAGTATTAGTTAGTAGTAGTATTATTACTAAGTAGTTAGTAGTAGTAATAGTATTAGTTAGTAGTAGTTAGCAGTAGTAGTACCTTTCTCCAGGTATATCGGGGGGGCGTCGGTGTCGTAGTCCACTGGTGGAGGGAGGGGTGGCATGATGTCATCAAAAAAACCCTGATCGTCCAATAAGAGAGTAGGGGGCATGGCCGGCAGCTCTAAATCTGAGAACACACTTCCCGTTAGTGAAAACTGGGGTCGGCCAATCAGGAGTGAGGAGGCGGGGCTTTGACAGGAAGCAGCAGAGCTGAGGGTTTACAGCACCGTGACAGTACGCAGGGCTGTCCCTGCCCAACTTGAGGCCCCACGCAAAGTTATATGATGAGGCCCTCTGTTTCGCGAGCGTCGACAGGGACGGCCCTGACAGTACGTAACGGTATGACACAGAACAAAAGTACTACTGTGCAGGGTTTCCGTTAGCCGGTAATTACCGGTTTTTAGCTGGTCAAATGTATTAAAAAACGGTAAATTCAAAACCTGCCGGTCAAAATGTCCGGTAATAATTAGGGATGCTCCGATCGATTGGCCGCCGACCATTATCGGCCGATATTCACTCTTAATAGTTTGATCGGTGCTCTCTATAAAGGCCGATCAGGAGAGCTGGATCTGATCGATATGGACATGAACGCGAGTGAAGTGTAACCGGACGAGAGAGAGAGATCAGATCAGCTGCTGAGTCTGACGGAGACACGCAGCTCTGCATGATCACCTGAAGCCCCGCCCACTGAGTTGCATGAGAAACAGAGAGAGAGAGAGAGAGAGAGAGAGAGAGAGAGAGAGAGAGAGAGAGAGAGAGAGAGAGAGAAGAGAGAGAGAGAGAGAGAGAGAGAGAGAGAGAGAGAGAGAGAGAGAGAGAGGGAGAGAGAGGAAAAGAGAGGATCCGTTTCTCCCGTGTTATTATTCAAAGTTAATGTAAACTTTTGAATAATGTACTTCATCTACTACATCAAGTAGTTTGTTTGAATGTAATTGTTAGAGCCAGTATTTTGCTTTTATAAGAAAGGCCTAATTGTGACGTCTGTAGTCAACGCACTATAAAGGACTACAATTCCCATGGCGCCTGTGCTAAAGCCACAGTGATGGGCAACCTGTTGAGAGACGCCGTCGAGGAACAGTTTTTAACCGTAATCGTACCGTACACGTACACGTACACGTACACGTACATACAAATCGTACAAGTACCCTTTAAGTTATGAAGTTATAAGCATTATCAAGAAAGAAAGAATACCTAAGTTGTTTGTTATTTTATTTGAGTTTTGCCTATTTCTTTTGAATATTGTAAAGGCCTATTTTCTTTGTTGCATGTGCAAAAGTTTGTTATTTTATTTTGAGCAAACACATCGCAACATCATCTAAACCATCGGAGGCCAAGCAACTCTTCAAACTGTGAGTAATTTAAAGGAAAGAAAGGAGTTAGAAGTGTCTGTTTAAGGCGTCGAGTGGCTTGATGGAAACACAAGGAAGCCATCACAGTAATAATGATGTTGTTTGTTGTTTGTGGAATCATTTATTGAAAAATGAATCTGAACTTTTCGATCTGTTACGATTATAAGCTGAAGCAATATAAAATGAGCCCCATTAACTGAGTTTTAAACATTAGCATATAAACTCCTGAACAACAACAAAAAGCCAGCGTTTTATCCAGTTTGTACACAACGATGCAGAAACTACTGGGAAGCATGGTCCTCTGAAGAGACCAGCTAGCTACTGGGAAGCTGGTCCTCTGAAGAGACCAGCTAGCTACTGGGAAGCTGGTCCTCTGAAGAGACCAGCTACCTACTGGGAAGCTGGTCCTCTGAAGAGACCAGCTAGCTACTGGGAATCTGGTCCTCTGTAGAGACCAGCTAGCTACTGGGAAGCTGGTCCTCTGAAGAGACCAGCTAGCTACTGGGAAGCTGGTCCTCTGAAGAGACCAGCTAGCTACTGGGAAGCTGGTCCTCTGAAGAGACCAGCTACCTACTGGGAAGCTGGTCCTCTGAAGAGACCAGCTAGCTACTGGGAAGCTGGTCCTCTGAAGAGACCAGCTAGCTACTGGGAAGCTGCTCCTCTGAAGAGACCAGCTAGCTACTGGGAAGCTGGTCCTCTGAAGAGACCAGCTAGCTACTGGGAATCTGGTCCTCTGAAGAGACCAGCTAGCTACTGGGAAGCTGCTCCTCTGAAGAGACCAGCTAGCTACTGGGAAGCTGGTCCTCTGAAGAGACCAGCTAGCTACTGGGAAGCTGGTCCTCTGAAGAGACCAGCTAGCTACTGGGAAGCTGGTCCTCTGAAGAGACCAGCTACCTACTGGGAAGCTGGTCCTCTGAAGAGACCAGCTAGCTACTGGGAATCTGGTCCTCTGAAGAGACCAGCTAGCTACTGGGAAGCTGGTCCTCTGTAGAGACCAGCTAGCTACTGGGAAGCTGGTCCTCTGAAGAGACCAGCTAGCTACTGGGAATCTGGTCCTCTGAAGAGACCAGCTAGCTACTGGGAATCTGGTCCTCTGAAGAGACCAGCTAGCTACTGGGAATCTGGTCCTCTGAAGAGACCAGCTAGCTACTGGGAATCTGGTCCTCTGAAGAGACCAGCTAGCTACTGGGAAGCTGGTCCTCTGAAGAGACCAGCTAGCTACTGGGAATCTGGTCCTCTGAAGAGACCAGCTAGCTACTGGGAATCTGGTCCTCTGAAGAGACCAGCTAGCTACTGGGAATCTGGTCCTCTGAAGAGACCAGCTAGCTACTGGGAATCTGGTCTTCCGAAGAGGTACAGAGGAAGCTGGAGCACAATCGGCCATTGTTGTTGTTGTCGGTGTGAGCTGTGAGGGGTTTCCGCACGGTTTGGCTTTATGAAGCAGGCACGCAAACGGTTACGTCATGACGCAAACGATGACGCAATGACGCAGCACCAGTCGGACTCTGGGCGGTGCTGAACCTGAAAAGCTCTAGCACAGAGCTAGAACCGGAGTTGCGTTGGTGTGAATGAGGTATAACAGAATACTAGCTACATACCTACAGGACTAATACTACCACTAACAGAATACTAGCTACATACCTACAGGACTAATACTACCACTAACAGAATACTAGCTACATACCTACAGGACTAATACTACCACTAACAGAATACTAGCTACATACCTACAGGACTAATACTACCACTAACAGAATACTAGCTACATACCTACAGGACTAATACTACCACTAACAGAATACTAGCTACATACCTACAGGACTAACCACTAACAGAATACGAGCTACATACCTACAGGACTAATACTACCACTAACAGAATACTAGCTACATACCTACAGGACTAATACTACCACTAACAAAATACTAGCTACATACCTACAGGACTAATACTACCACTAACAGAATACTAGCTACATACCTACAGGACTAATACTACCACTAACAAAATACTAGCTACATACCTACAGGACTAATACTACCACTAACAGAATACTAGCTACATACCTACAGGACTAATACTACCACTAACAGAATACTAGCTACATACCTACAGGACTAATACTACCACTAACAGAATACTAGCTACATACCTACAGGACTAATACTACCACTAACAGAATACTAGCTACATACCTACTGGACTAATACTACCACTAACAGAATACTAGCTACATACGTACAGGACTAATACTACCACTAACAGAATACTAGCTACATACCTACAGGACTAATAGTACCACTAACAGAATACTAGTAGTACAGGACTAATACTACCACTAACAGAATACTAGCTACATACCTACAGGACTAATACTACCACTAACAGAATACTAGCTACATACCTACAGGACTAATACTACCACTTACAGAATACTAGCTACATACCTACAGGACTAATACTACCACTAACAGAATACTAGCTACATACCTACAGGACTAATACTACCACTAACAGAATACTAATAGAACAGGACTAATACTACCACTAACAGAGTACTAGTAGTACAGGACTAATACTACCACTAACAGAATACTAGTAGTACAGGACTAATACTATCACTAACAGAGTACTAGTAGTACAGGACTAATACTACCACTAACAGAATACTAGTAGTACAGGACTAATACTACCACTAACAGAGTACTAGTAGTACAGGACTAATACTACCACTAACAGAATACTAGCAGTACAGAACTAATACTACCACTAACAGAGTACTAGTAGTACAGGACTAATACTACCACTAACAGAGTACTAGCAGTACAGGACTAATACTACCACTAACAGAATACTAGTAGTACAGCACTAATACTACCACTAACAGAGTACTAGTAGTACAGGACTAATACTACCACTAACAGAGTACTAGCAGTACAGTTCTAATACTACCACTAACAGAGTACTAGTAGTACAGGACTAATACTACCACTAACAGAGTACTAGTAGTACAGGACTAATACTACCACTAACAGAGTACTAGTAGAACGTACTAGTACTACACTAAAAGAAGCTGCAGTGTTTTCTTACCCAGGTGTTGAAGTCGAGCAGGTAAGCAGAGTCGAGCTGAGGAGGGGGGGGGGCAGCAGGGTGCGGGGGGAGGGGGGGGGAGGGAGGAGCATGGGGGGGGAGGGTAGGCAGGAGGGGGCGGGATCATCACTGACAGACAGAGGGAATCAGTCAGTGTTGATAAAAGAGAGCGAGTGATCATCTGCAAACAGAGCCAATCTGTGAACCTGAAACACAGGAGAGTCCGGGGCCCTAAACCCTTACACAGTGACCCCTAGACCCTTACCCAGTGACCCCTAGACCCTTACCCAGTGACTCCTAGACCTTTACCCAGTGACTCCTAAACCCTTACCCAGTGACCCCTAGACCCTTACCCAGTGACTCCTAGACCTTTACCCAGTGACTCCTAGACCTTTACCCAGTGACCCCTAGACCCTTACCCAGTGACTCCTAGAGCTTTACCCAGTGACTCCTAAACCCTTACCCAGTGACTCCTAAACCCTTACCCAGTGACTCCTAAACCCTTACCCAGTGACTCCTAGACCTTTACCCAGTGACTCCTAAACCCTTACCCAGTGACTCCTAGACCTTTACCCAGTGACCCCTAAACCCTTACCCAGTGACCCCTAGACCCTTACCCAGTGACTCCTAGACCCTTACCTAGTGACTCCTAGAGCTTTACCCAGTGACTCCTAAACCCTTACCCAGTGACCCCTAGACCCTTACCCAGTGACTCCTAGAGCTTTACCCAGTGACTCCTAAACCCTTACCCAGTGACCCCTAGACCCTTACCCAGTGACTCCTAGACCTTTACCCAGTGACTCTTAAACCCTTACCCAGTGACCCCTAGACCCTTACCCAGTGACTCCTAGAGCTTTACCCATTGACTCCTAGACCCTTACCCAGTGACCCCTAGACCCTTACCCAGTGACTCCTAGAGCTTTACCCAGTGACTCCTAAACCCTTACCCAGTGACCCCTAGACCCTTACCCAGTGACTCCTAGACCTTTACCCAGTGACTCCTAAACCCTTACCCAGTGACCCCTAGACCCTTACCCAGTGACTCCTAGACCTTTACCCAGTGACTCCTAAACCCTTACCCAGTGACCCCTAGACCCTTACCCAGTGACTCCTAGACCCTTAGCCAGTGACCCCTAAACCCTTACCCAGTGACCCCTAGACCCTTACCCAGTGACTCCTAGACCTTTACCCAGTGACTCCTAAACCCTTACACAGTGACCCCTAGACCCTTACCCAGTGACTCCTAGAGCTTTACCCAGTGACTCCTAAACCCTTACCCAGTGACCCCTAGACCCTTACCCAGTGACTCCTAGACCTTTACCCAGTGACTCCTAAACCCTTACCCAGTGACCCCTAGACCCTTACCCAGTGACTCCTAGACCCTTACCCAGTGACCCCTAGACCCTTACCCAGTGACTCCTAGACCTTTACCCAGTGACCCCTAGACCCTTACCCAGTGACTCCTAGACCCTTACCCAGTGACTCCTAGAGCTTTACCCAGTGACTCCTAGACCTTTACCCAGTGACTCCTAAACCCTTACCCAGTGACCCCTAGACCCTTACCCAGTGACTCCTAGACCTTTACCCAGTGACTCCTAAACCCTTACCCAGTGACCCCTAGACCCTTACCCAGTGACTCCTAGACCCTTACCCAGTGACCCCTAGACCCTTACCCAGTGACTCCTAGACCTTTACCCAGTGACCCCTAGACCCTTACCCAGTGACTCCTAGACCTTTACCCAGTGACTCCTAAACCCTTACCCAGTGACTCCTAAACCCTTACCCAGTGACCCCTAGACCCTTACCCAGTGACTCCTAAACCCTTACCCAGTGACCCCTAGACCCTTACCCAGTGACTCCTAGACCCTCACCCAGTGACTCCTAAACTCTTACCCAGTGACTTCTAAACCCTTACCCAGTGACCCCTAGACCCTTACCCAGTGACTCCTAAACCCTTACCCAGGTACTCCTAAACCCTTACCCAGTGACTCCTAAACCCTTACCCAGTGACCCCTAGACCTTTACCCAGTGACTCCTAGACCCTCACTCAGTGACTCCTAAACCCTTACCCAGTGACTCCTAAACCCTTACCCAGTTACTCCTAAACCCTTACCCAGTGACTCCTAAACCCTTACCCAGTTACTCCTAAACCCTTACCCAGTGACTCCTAAACCCTTACCCAGTTACTCCTAAACCCTTACCCAGTGATCCCTTAACCCTTACCCAGTGACTCCTAAACCCTTACCCAGTGACTCCTAAACCCTTACCCAGTGATCCCTAAACCCTTACCCAGTGACTCCTAAACTCTTACCCAGTTACTCCTAAACCCTTACCCAGTGACTCCTAAACCCTTACCCAGTTACTCCTAAACCCTTACCCAGTTACTCCTAAACCCTTACCCAGTGACTCCTAAACCCTTACCCAGTTACTCCTAAACCCTTACCCAGTTACTCCTAAACCCTTACCCAGTGATCCCTAAACCCTTACCCGGCTTACGTGATTGGACAGCAGGCAGGAAGAGAGAGCGTGTGAAGCGGCAGCGGGAGGCGGGGCCTGAGCGGACCCTCAGAGAGACAGAGCGAGGGGGCGAGCGAGGGCGCCTCCTATTGGAAGGGAGCGTCACTGAAAACACCACAGAAGAAGAGACTGAGAGGGACAGCACCACAGAAGAAGAGAGGAACAACACCACAGAAGAAGAAAGTGACAGACAGGTACCATCTAGTTCCTGGTTGGGTGGGGGGGGCGGGGCTGGCAGCTCTGAGCCATCATTGGTCAGCGGGGGGAAGCCGTCATCCTCGGAGGGGGGAGGGGGGGGAGAGGGGGCGGGGAAGATGCCCTCTTCCACCACTGAGGACACAGACAGGATGTGATGTCATCCACTCACAATAACTGTCAACCAATCGTGGACAGATGTAATGTTTGGGCCTACCTGTCTCCAGGCAGAGGGGCGGGGCCGGCGGTGGAGCACTGTGATTGGTCGGATCTCCTGAAGGAGGGGGAGGAGGAGGAGGAGGAGGGGGCGTGGTAAGAGTGACCTCATCTTCCTGAACTGACATCTGATTGGCTGCCGGAGGAGGAGGCGGGGCGTCGTCCAGCAGCTTGTTGATGATGTCACTCTCCGGAGGGGCCGGGGGGGCGGGGAGGGTGGGCGGAGCTACAGGCCTCCCAAAACTGGAGCTGAGAGATTACAGAAGATATATTATTATTTATTATTAAT